CTACGACAAGCATCGAAAAATTAAAAAGAAATAAAATTTATTTTATTATTTTTTATTTATTTTATTATTTATATTTATTTTATTTCTGATCTAGTTTTTGGGTGGAAAGTAATCCAAAGGGAGTCATGCTTGGATAATTTATCGAAAAGTTAAAAAAAAATTTATTTTATTTTTTTTTATTTTTTTTTTATTATTTTATTATTTTATTATTTATATTTATTTCATTTCCGGTCTAATTTTTGGGTGGAAAGTGATCCAAAGGGAGTCAAGATGCTTGGATAATTGTCTCTATGCTGTAACTATTGTGCAGTTTGTAAAGGTCCCTAATTGTTAGATATGTGCGTATGTGTATGTATATATCGCAGAAAATCAAGATTCGAACATCACAACTAGTAATCACAAAGAAACCGTTATATCTTAATATTACATATGCCCAAAAAAAGTATCAAAATGAATAAACTACAAAAAGGGGCTTCCAGTTTGAGTATGGCATTAATCTAAATTTATGGTTACAGATATTGCGCATGGGGGAACGACTCCTAATCCAAGTCCTGAATCGTAGTTATACCTGGTCAGATATATATTCGCTATTACTTCCAAGAGAGATTATGTGATTTTTGTCCTTTCCTGGTATTGAGTGTTTATATCTTGTCTTCCTGTGATATATATTTCCAGCAGAGATATAAAAATTCCACGTTGTTCGTCGTTGGACAATATGGCTGATTTTACTTGAGCACACGAGGATAATGCGTAGTTGAATAGGATTCCGTTATAGCCGAGATGGCTACTACAATGTAGCCGTTGAAAAGACTTAAGCTTCTTCCCAATATTCGTACTCGCGGTACTGCTCGCAGGAGCATGTGTAGCGAGTGTAGCGATTATATCATTCGCTAGCCAAATTCAAGATATGTAATTAGCAAGGATTAACAACGATCCGTATTCGGTAGCACAAGGTTGATCGAAACGATGCGCACTCTACCACGTCTCAGAACGGAATTCGACTTTTGCTTTATGACTAATGGCTTATTGTAGACAGCCTCTTATGTTTGACTGTGATTGGTCAATACGGCTTATGGCTTGCGACTCGACATATGACGTATTGTAAAACGGGCCTAAAAGTTTCTTTCAGGACTATCATGACCAACTCATACGACAAAAATTTAAAGCCTATAATCTGCACCGCTTATAATAAAACCTTCGCAGAAAATTGTTAAAATTGAGATGACGCTAACCAAGGCGATCGGCTTGTAAATCTTACTTTCGATCGGCTACTGGAAGGATCTCATATCCCTCAGTCGCATACCGTTGTCTAATAATTTCTGCAAACTGATATACGCGAGAGAGTTTTACGCTCGAAAGAAAAAGTCGGATCCAAAAAGGAACGTTTCGCGATTACGCACTGATAATTTATTAAACTCGTTTAGGAGCTACTCTTAGATAGGATCATCCTAAGTTGTCTATTCTCTCGGTGCTCGATAGTTTGCACGATATCTCTATTTCTACACTTTCTTCAAAGCACACAGCATCCTATAAGCAATCTTTCTTCTCTCCTTATACATTTAAATAAATTAAAATAGTAGGTAACTGATTATGTAAAAATTGTAAAAAGTTTTAAGCCCAGATACTATGAAATAATCATATTAATTATTAGAAAAAGAAAGTAATTTCATGGAAATAAAAGATTGGCCAGTTACGTCGTTAAAATTGATTTTGCATTGCATTCGTGTCGATGTCGCGCATAAAAATATCGGGAACCTTGCGCGACGAATTCCTTGATCAGATCCCTTAGCTTAATCTATGTGTTCGTTCCTTTATTAATTTTATCAATTTTACCGAAAAAGACTTTGTCGACGCCTTGTATATTCACCTAAAACTGTTGCGAAAACTTGTCTTACACATAATATTACACATAAATTTATCGTTCCGTACGCGTCAGTGTTGACAATATACCACGGTATAAGACGTTAAACGTAACCGTAATTCCACATATTACTGAAAGCAACGGAATGACATAACTTCGATCGCACGAAAGGTGTATGAGCTAAAAGTGAAAGTCGGACTCCTTGATCATTTAGTGAACTTAAGCCGCGTCTACAATGAGACTTAAGACTTAAGATTTAAGAAAATTGACCAATCACAATCGATTATTCTTCTCACATGAGATGAATAATCGAATATAATTAGTCAATTTTCTTAAAGTTTAAGTCTCAAGTCTCATTATAGACAACGTTTTTACGAAAACTATGCCATGTATTCAACGCTGCCGCATGGCGAACGATCAATTTATATAATACACCATTCTCAACGATTCGTCTGTCTTTTGAAAGAATTATAGGTCGCGAGTGTCCTCAGAAAGTAAACCAACACCGCTGATTAGTGTGCCATTATCAAAAATATCGTAAAGTGAGTCATATACAACAAACTTTTCGGAAACTCTAGAAGAAGAAATTGAATTAAAGCCCCAATCAACTTTTGGAAAAGAAGAGAAAAAATTCAATGTCAAACTTAACTTTTCATTTGATTAAAATTTAATTTCCTATTTTTAAAAAAGCGAAACAGTCGTGAGATATTTTATAAATATATTATAGCGGAATGTTTAGAATTGCTTCGGAAATTTTTATACAATTTATATTAATACCTACATGTAAGCGCCAACTGACAAAATAATATGCTGACGAAATTCTCAGAGATCAGATACGGCGCTTCGTGATTTGCGATATGTCTTCACAATGGATAGGAGAAGCGATAATTATCAGCGTGACAATCGTAGTTCACGTACTCGAATTAAATGTGTGTCGCGAATGCATTATATAGTCATAATTTTCTCTACCTATCACTAAAGATAGAATACCATAAAATAACCAATTATGCAACGTCTCGTCCGGATGGATATGTAGTAGCGATCCGTCGCGTTATCCTCAACAGGCAAATTCAAAGCTCAAAAAGCTTCGATCGTCATCTCGCGCTCTATGCCGCGCGAACATAGATACTGAATTTCATTGTTTTCCTGTTGTGCGATTCCTTAACAGACTTTTTCAGTCGTGTGAATTATTTTTCTAATTTTATTCATATTTCGTTTTTTGATATGGGTAAATCGTCTCATAAATCAAGAAAGAGAAGGAGGTCT